GACCGTAGGCTTAGTTACATCCCACTTTAAGTGTTATACACCCTCGAAGGGTACGTAATAGTGTTTTATAGAGTTGTTACTTCCCTCAATCTGATTACGGTTTAGAATTTTAAACATTTGAAACTTTCAAGTGTTACTTTGCATTAAGATTTAGAGTCATGCATTAGTAGTCATAAGGTAATCCCTAACATATTAGCACTGGTTGAGTTGACCAGTTTGACTTGTTGACTTTCTTTGACTTGGACTTGACCAGAAAGTGACGGTTGTCACAAAAATTTATAATATCAAATGCTTAACCTAATTTCTTGGGATTTTTGTTGAAGATTCTGTGAAGATTGTTTGAACCGAAATGGAAACGTTTTGGGTAGATTTTTCCGCGAGGGTTTATCGGTAGTCGTTTGATATTTGATAGACTTACCTTTTTTTTATGATTATCGGCCGTTACATAATTATCATTAAACACGTACAAATCATTGTTGAATATTTTCCCATACCAAAATCATGATAGAATACATATTAGTCACGGCTAATTAATCTTGACCCTTAAAATACAACAAATCAAATGGCTGAAATTTGTCCTCATGTGCTCACTTTAAGTTGCGTCCTCACTTGAATTGTATATAGTGTGAAATTTAATTAAAGAACCATGTAATTAAACACGAAAATTAAACTTTAAGGTGTTTTGATGAGAATAACTATATATATATATATATATATATATATATATATATATATATATATAGAGAGAGAGAGAGAGAGAGAGAGGAATGATCATTTGAGAACTCAAAGTTTCCCGAGAACACGAGAACCGATTGTGAGCCGTTAGATCAAAATAATAAAAGGCTAGGATGCTCGGTGGTGTTTTTGTAAATACTTTGAAAAAAAGTCACGGGGGCATCATAATTATTATGAATCAGGGGCATTTTAGTAAATAAATAATTTAGCCCCCCTTCTCTCTCTATCTATCTATCTCTCCTCTCTCTCTCTCTATCTCTCTCTCTCACATCTTGACTCCTGTCGTCTCATCGCCTCATCCTCGTCGGAGATGACGTCTTCATCTGTGAGGTGGTCGAAGACGGAGACCAGTCGTTTGAACACGTAGGAGCATCACTTCAAAACTAACCTCCACCGTGCAAAGAATCACCAAAAGCTTGATCGAGAAACTAAACAATCTTCGATCTACAATGGCCGCTGCTGATACCGAGAAACTAAACAATCTTCGATCTGTTGTTTCTGGTCTCACTCAGATCAGGTGTTTACCCAACTTTCTGCATTCAAATTTGAATTGTGCTTCAGTTTTTATTAGTTTTTAGTTTGGGGATCTGAATTTGGTTTTTTGGTTGATGTTGGACATTTTGCATTGATAATGAGAAATCTGGATTTATCAACCTTGTCTCCCGCTATCTAAGGTACTGTTTAAATAATTAGCATTGGTTAGAGTGTTTTTCATTTTTGTTTGTTGTTTTAGTGATCGATGTATTGGTATCGAATCTCAAATATCAGTAACCGATTTGCTTCTGTTTCGAGTTAGTATTTTTCCAATTTTGAGTATCAACCGGAAAATCGAACAATGCAGATTTGTTTATCGTTAAAATTCGTTAATAGTGGCATTTTGTGTACTTAATCATCGCATAAACATTCGAAAATTGTAGATTTGTTTATCATTTCAAGTAGAATAGAATAGGGAAATGGGGAAACCGGAAACAAACTATATATGTTGAAGTGATTGCTTATCTTATACACTTCTCTACCAAACTATTCATGATTCGTTTTCCATTTTCTGTTTTCGTTTCATGCAAATTCAGTGGCGAAGCACAACATGTTGAATGGAGTAAGATCCAAACACCAACCGACAAGATCGTTGCGCCCTATGATACCCTGTCAGCTATTCCAGAAGGTAATATATTGATCTTCTATTTGTTGCAGACTGAAACTTAATCATTGGTTCTACTCTATGCACATTACGATCTGGCATAACATGGTACCATTTTATGTCAAGTGATAAGAGTGTATTCATGATCAAGCATCGGTGCATCTATTTTGAAAATTTTGTGTTAATTGGTGCAGACGTTGCTCAAACCAAGAGCCTTTTGGATAAACTTGTGGTGCTAAATTAAAAATTAAAAAATAAGTTTCCATTCCCCTTAGCATCTGTTATGTACACTTACGAAATTAAATTCATATATAAAAGGGAAAAAAGTTATTTTGTAGTTTCAAATACATACTATAATATATGTATTTCAATTAGTCGGAAAAAAAATGTTATTTAATGATTCAAAAAAATGTTTACAAACACTTAGAAGAAAAATAATTAATATTGAATACTAAGAAATACTAAAATAGAGTTATGATCAAAACATATTTTGAATGTATAATTTTCATATGAAAATTAATATAAATACTAAAGTATTTATATGAATAATCATATGAATACTTTATTATGAACTAATTGGCATTCTTTCTTTGATTGTTCCTTTTCTAGCATTTGACTCATCTTGTTGGTGATGCAGATCTGTGATAGAAGTCAGAAATGGATTAACTTTCTTAGACTTAATTGTCATCCAAATTGAGGTACTTCACATTTAAACAAACACATGCACATCTATACATAAGTCATTCTATGCTTGTTATCCAAATTGAGGTACTTCACATTTGATTGTTCCTTTTCTAGCATTCTATGTTTAGTTTCTCGGTATTATCACTTCAAATATATAATGATATATGCATGAACTCAACTGTAAAAATGGAAGATCAAGACTCGGAAGAATAACAAGGATCTCCATGTGGATATGATTCAAAGTGTCATCCAACAACTCTTCTATCAGGTCAATCATAATTGATAATGGTTCATGTTCGAATTTTCTTGAATTTTTATATTTGTCTGAATCATGGTGTGACGGTTATAAGTAAATCACATGTAATTCATATGTGAATTACATGTGATTCACATGTAAATCACAAGTAAATCACATATGAATTACATGTGATTCACATGTAATTATGAATTACATGTGATTCACATGTAAATCACATAAGAATTACATGTGATTCACATGTAATTCACACATGATTCATATGTAAATCACATCTGAATTACATGTGATTCACATGTAAATCACAAGTGATTCACATATAAATTACGTGTAATTCACATATGAATTACATGTGATTCACATGTAATTCACATATGATTCACTTTGTGATTCACATGTAAATCACAAGTGAATCAAATATGAATTACATGTGATTCACATGTAAATCACTAGTGAATCACATATGAATTACATGTGATTCACATGTAAATCACATGTAATTCACATATGATTCACTTGTGATTCACGTGTAAATCACATATGAATTACATATGATTCACTTGTGATTCACATGTAAATCACAAGTGAATCAGATATGAATTACATGTGATTCACATGTAAATCACTAGTGAATCACATATAAATTACATGTGATTTACATGTATATCACATATGAATTACATGTGATTCTCATGTAAATCACATGTAATTCACATATGATTCACTTGTGATTCACATGTAAATCACATATGAATTACACGTGATTCACAAGTGAATCACATATGAATTATATGTGATTCACATATAAATTACATGTAATTCACATATTAATCATATTTAATTCACATGTAAATCACAAGTGAATCACATATCAATTAGATGTGATTCACATGTAAATCACAAGTGAATAACATATGAATTACATGTAAATCACTACTGAATCACATATGAATTACGTCTATATGCACACATGCATTTTGTGTGAGTGGTCTTCGTTAATTTTTTTTTTATTTTCTTATGAATCACATTTGAATTTTAAAAGATACAATCACATGTGAATATCACATTATATAATCACATTTGAATCTTACATGATATAATCACATGTGAATCTTACATGATATATACTTGTGCATTTTTTTGAGTGTTCTAGCATTAATCAATTTTTTTTAAAAATTTGATTGTAGGTTTTGATGAATTTGTTGAAAATATTGAAGAGGTGAAAAGTAATAAATTGAAGAAAATATGAGAATCTTGATATGAAGAAATGATAAAACTGTGAATCTTCGTAACATTTTTTATTTTTTATATTTTATTCTGTATCGAATAAATTATTTGTTATATTATGTTTATAGATTGATTAATAAAAATAATATTTTTTATGATTTACTTACGAATATTATAGTATAATAAATATGCATATATGCATTTGAAAACATATGCATATGTACCTAAAACGTTGATTTTTTTTGTTAAAAAAATTAAAGTTTTTTTAACTAATCTAGTTTTTTTTGGTAAAACTTACTGATTTTTAACATTTTACTTTTTTAAAAAAATATAGTTTTTTTTAATTGCAGTTTTTTTGAAAAAGTTGTAATTTTTTTGAAAAAAAATACAGTTTTTTTTAAAGAAAAATACAGTTTTTTTTTTAAGAAAAATGTAGTTTTTTTAAGTAAAATGTAGTTTTTTTTTAAAAAAATTGCTGTTTTTTTTTTGAAAAAATTACAGTTTTTTAAAAAAATATAAATATTTTTTTTCAATTTTAAAAAAATTCATGTTTTCTGAAAAAAATTAAAAAATCTGCATCTTTTTTTTTAAAAAAACAAAAATTATTTAAAATAAAAAAATCCGAAATTTAATTTATTATGTTAATTTTTAAAACTTTTTATTAATATTTCTAATAACAAAAAAAAAATTAAACATTAAATGAGATCGATAAGATGACAATCATGTCTTTAATGAGTTAATTTTGATCTAACGCTCCACCTTTAGTTCTCAGGTTCTCGGAAAACTATGAGTTGTCAACGGATCTTAACTATATATATATATATATATATATATATATATATATATATATATATATATATATATATTGTGAAATTTAATTAAAGAACCATGTAAACACGAAAATTAAACTTTAAGGTGTTTTGATGAGAATAACTTTTCTTTTATATGGTCTATCAAATCTCGAATTCCACCTCGTCTAATGAGCAGACAAATTATGAGGTAAAACCCTAACACATTGAACTCCACGGCGAAACGCCGAAATCCTCCTACATACCTTGTCCGAAGCCAATAGGCTAGCCATTCCCTCACCGGAGCCACCGTCGGCACCGCCTTAACCTAACATGGCTTCTCCTCTGAGAAAGTTCTTGCTTAAAAGTTCTTCCGGGGATGTCATCGTCCGGCGTGAAATGAGGAGAGCCAAATCCGACTCTACCACCAAAATGCAGATAATGATTCGATCGTTCGAATCAATTGACAAAAACCTTCATTGGGAGCTTCCACCTGACACACGTAAGATCGGCTTGCCGTCGACACGATCCTTGTTCACTGTGTTAAAATCACCTCATGTTCATAAAAAAGCAAGAGAACAATTTCAAATGAAAATCAACAAGGAAATGCTGGTTATGGAAACTAAAAGGCATGAATTACGCAAGAAATTATTCTGGTTAAAAAGGCAGCGGATCTTTGGAGCTCAATTTGAAATCCTATTTTCTTTCAAGACTCGATTGGATAAAGCACAGCTTCAGGAAGTTCTTCAGCCTGGAGCGAAGGATGTTTCTAAATACAACAAACTTGAAGAACGTTCTGTGATGAAGGCACTTAGTTCTTTGGCACATGATGGGTTCTATTCAGATGCTGTGGAGGCTTCATTGAACTCAGTTGAATCTTCTCTTCCAGCAAACAACACCACAGCGTTTCCTCAAGGGCTTGCGCTGATGCTTCGTTCTGTTGTAAGCTAATCTCTAGCTTTTCCTCCATTGAACGAGTTCTTCCTTTTATCGGTTTACAAAAAACAGAACAACGTTTATCCCTTTCTCTGATTTTGTATTGTTTTTATCAGCCCATGGAACTTCTGAAAGCTAGAGTGGACAAGGAAGGATCAAGATCTGTATCTACTCAATTGATAGAAAAATTCATTTTAAATAATCCTCATCGCCCAAATGTCGAAGCTCAGGTACTGCATAACACACATTTCCAGTTCTTGTGCGTCTATGGAAGACAATTATGTTTCAGTTACACACATGCTAATGAATTTGTACTTTAATCAGCCTGATCCAGAGAAGGCTTCTCAACATGAATCAGTAGAGAGGTATAATTTAGAAAAACTCAAAGCAAGTATGACTGAAGAAGATCTTGCTGAATTAGCTCGTGTGACAAGTGAGCTACAACTGAAACCTTCTGCACCTCTAAAAGCTGTTCCAAGATTCTCTCTGAAGAACATTTCTGAAAAACCTATGCAAGTTCCATTAGAGGTAATATAGCCTCATCATATACTGTTTCAAGTGCTGTATTCATTTTTGGACTTCATGATTTTTATGGAGGCCTTGGTTTTTTCAATTATAATAGGTTGGAGATATCAATGGGGTAAAAGTCTTGAAGCATGACCTCATCACAAATGATGTTCTGTATGCTGATGTAGCTTTTGATATGAGTTCATTAAAGCCTGAACTTCTTCCCCTTGTTCCACTTTTCTGGTAAGATGTTCTAACTTCTAAGTGCTGTTATATATACATACTTAGATACGTATGAATATATACGCTATGTTGTCATTTATATTAGTAAAAGATTATGAACAATATAATTCTTTGTAGTCTGTTCTATATCCTGTAAACCACATTATGTTTAAACTTGTTTTACTGTATTGATAAACAGCCGGTCATTACTTGAAATGGGTACAAAAGACGTAAACGCCCTTCAGCTCAGTCAATTGATTGGAAGGGAGACAGGTGGAATATCAGTTTACCCTTTCACATCATCAAAACAAGGTTCAAAGGATCCTGTTAGCCATATAATTGTTCGAGGAAAAGCCATGTCAGCAAACACAGAAGCTCTATTTAACCTGGTATGCTCATTTTCATGGAAGTTTTCCCATGCAAAAGACGTAAATACCCTCTTAAAAAGCTTGTCTAATCCATGCCTGGTTATAACTATTCATTATTTGTAGATGACATGTGTTCTTCAAGAAGCCGAATTTACAAATCCAAAGCGTTTCAAACGGTTTGTCTCTGAAAGCAAAGCTAAATTAGAGGTATTTGTTGGATCTGTAGACTATTTTAGTAATCAGTTTTTATTTAGTTGTCTGGTTTTATAATTTTTTTTTTAATTTTTTTTTTTTTAAAGAATCATTTAAGGGAAGGTGGTCATGGGCTTGCAGCTACAAGGATGAATGCAAAATTAAACCCTGCAGGCTGGATTGCTGAACAGATGGGTGGTATCAGGTTTGTAAAAAAGTTGATGTGGCACTGGTTTTTCCTGTTTTCGCCATGTCATCATCCATGTGTACAATCATATTGACATGGGTTAAAATATTTATCAGTTTTATAAAGATTCATTTAACTACATTGTCTTTATTGATAAAAAAAGTCAAGTAAGTTGCTGTATATGGTTTCTATCTACACATTCAACTAATCAATAGTTCATGTAACTAAAATCAAATTGTTAATGTAAAATATTTATCAGTTTATTTTTTTTATTAATATCTAATACACTTGCAGTTATCTGGAATTCTTGAAAGATCTTGAAGGAAAAATTGAAGAGAAATGGAGTGAAATTTCAATGTCCCTTGAAGAGATTCGCCAAACCCTCCTTTCAAAAAAAGGCTGCATTCTAAATCTCACATCTGATGGAAAAAACCTTAAAATTTCAGAAAAATACATAAGAAAATTTCTCAATTCTCTTCCAAGTAATTCCTCAGTTACATCATCCATTTCAAATGCACAACTTCCATCAAACAATGAAGCAATTATAATCCCTACTCAGGTAGTTTCATAATAATAATTATTATTAATATAATAGTTTTTGCCACTGTTTGTTGTTAACTTGAATTAATTGTAGGTGAATTATGTTGGAAAAGCAGCTAATATTTATGAAAATGGTTATCAACGTAATGGGAGTGCTTATGTGATATCTAAATACATAAGTAATACATGGTTGTGGGACAATATTCGAGTTAATGGAGGGGCATTTGGTGGCTTTTGTGATTTTGATACTCGTTCAGGTAAAATTACAAATATGCCCCTTGTGATTGATAATAATAATGGGACAAGTGACAACAACCCTTAAAAACCTAAACTTTAAACCCTACTAAACCATTTGTAGTTTTTGTATGGGCTCATTTTTTTATTCATTGCCAATTATGATGTTCTTAGATTTACCATTTTACCCTTGTATTATTCTATACAGGTGTTTTGTCATTCCTATCGTATCGGGATCCTAATTTACTGAAGACACTAGATGTATATGATGGAACATCTGATTTTCTACGTGGACTTGAAATTGACGATAATACCCTTTGAGAAGGCAGTTATTGGTACAATTCAGGATCTGGATTCATTCCAACTACCTGATGCCAAAGGTTTTAGTAGGTATGTTGTTTTTTTATTGTTTCTATAAAATAATATTTTTTTTTAGCTAAGTTTGTTACCATGAAAAAATGATGTTCACTTGTTTTTTGCAGTTTTTTGCGATATTTATCGGGAATTTCTGAAGAAGATAGACAAGCAAGACGTGAAGAAATATTTTCAACAAGGTAAAATCTTTCATCTTTTATAAGATTGATTTTATATGTTATATAAAATGGCATAAGAAATAATCAGAAAGTAAAATGCTTCAACAAGAAGAAACTAACAATGTTATAATAAAGGGTTAATCTCATAAAAGACGTTATATTTTGTGTTTTTTCCGGATTAAACCTCAACTTTATTTTTTGCCTGAAAAGGACCTTGTATTTTTTCATTTTTTCCGAAAAAATCCTCAACCTTCTAACTGCTTCCAAATAAACCGTCAGCTTTTTTAGTTTCTCTCAAAAAAACCCTCACATTTTACAAATTTTTTTTGGAAAAAAATAACTAAAAGGGCCAGATCGGAAAAAATGAAACAATACAAGGTCCTTTTCATGCAAAAATAAATTCAAGGTTTAATCAGGAAAAAAACACAAAATATAAGGTCTTTTATGAGATTAACCCGGAAAAAAATGACTAAAAGGGCTAGATTGGAAAACTGAAGAAAATACAAGGTCTTTTTCTGACAAAAAATAAATTCTAGGTTTAATCCCGAAAAAACACAAAATACAAGGTCTAACCAATTTCGTGTTGCTATTTCTTGCTTTTAAACCTATTTTGAACATTTAAATATATTATTTAAATGTTTGAAAGTACATTGCTATTTCATAACTCTTTGCTTTTCCAAAGGTCAAGTGACTTCAAGGAATTTGCGGATATAGTTGACACTGTTAAAGATAAAGGAGTAATTGTAGCGGTTGCTTCCCAAAGCTGATGCTGACGTGGCAAACAAGGAACGTTCAAACCTTTTTGAAATGAAGAAAGTCTTATAAGGTTGTTCTTCCACACTTACCTTTTTTTCACTTCTATATTTGAAGATTTAATTACATTGCTATAAAAGAGAAATTTGGAAAGGACATTGCTATTTCTTTTTTGTTTTGTACATACATGGGGTCTATATCGGTTTTGCCACACAAAATAGACAATTTTGTGAGAGATGACTATAATGTTGTGTGTGGGAATTTGATAAAGTGAGGTTTAGTTAGAATAAGTGGTTGTTCGAATTCAAGTAGTTTCATGAAAGTTGAGCAAAATTGTAATTTTAAGGTTTATTTTGAAGTGAATTCTTGATATTTGTGTTTCCAAATTCTTGTATTTGGTTCTTTGTATCCAAATAGGAGTTAATTGACATAATGCAGATTATACTGTGTTTGGCAATTGGCATACATTGACGTGAGACTGATACCAATTAAACAATACTGCAATTTTTTGTCCAACTTAAAAAGGCATAACTATGTATCTTGTATTTGCAAAAGATGTAGATGCCCTTCTCATCATCATTATCATTGTCGTCAGTACACTTAGAAAGTGTCTTATGTTTCACACGAACCTTGAATCTCACTTTTAAAATTTTACTTGATTTGCTCCTTTGACCTAGACACCATCATGCACTCTTGTAAAAAACCTCATTGCCAATATATTTCATCTTTAAACTTAATGCCACAAGTAACTCCAAGTTTTCCACATTAATATATGTTAAATTAGTTAACAATTTAGATGCATTTACTTTCCATTTAGAATAAAGTAATCCTCACCTTTTACTTCCCATTCCAACCATTTAATTGACTTTAAACATGGATATGCTTACAGCTGACCAAAATCAATCCAATGGTTTGAGATTTTCAACTCATTAATTAAATAAGTTGACAGGGGTAAAAATTTTTAACCCGTTTTCAACCTACCAACTCATTTAAGTTTAATATATATTTATTTTTATAATTATTTAAATATTATAACTTATTAATCTAAGTATTAATTTATAAATTATAATGTTATATTATTATTATTTATGTTTTTAAAAATTGCAATCTTAATTCTTATCTTTTTTCTTAGTGCCGACAACATTAGTCACTCTCCAAATCATTTCAAAATTGAATATTTATAATGTTATTTGAACATTTATTTGTATTTGTGAATTGTGATGGTGGTGTTGTCATACTTTGAAATTTTGTTTAAGTTTGATACTAATTTAAATGATGTAATCTTTAATTAATTTATTTACTTTTTTTCTTTAATTTTAAATGGGTGAACTCAAGTTTAACCCATTTATTTAATATGTTGCCTTGAGAAATATATAAACAGGTCAATCCAGTGACAACCCATTTATCTAAAAGGTTGGTTGAGTTGGAAATATCAACAAATTTAAAGAAACATGTTGGGTTGGCTTGAAATCTTCAACCTAATTAATAAATGAGTTGAACTCGAACCCAACCTAGATCGACCCATTGCCAGCTCTATCTTGTTATTGATGTTTACGTACTCTTATCCTTCACATATTATCTTTCCATTAAAAGGATCCTCACTGAAATAAGCATGCACTTTAGAACATATGTATTACATTGTTTTTCTTGTAGATTTCCTCAAATTAACCCCAATTTTTTTTTCAAAAAATTTACTTCAAATTTTTACGTTTAAGATGATTTTAACTTAATCTTGATGTTATCTTGCACAATTACTTTCCTAGTCTAGCGACTTTACTAGGAGTGTAATCAAGTTGACTACTGACAAGCTTGAAACTCTGCTTGTTTAAAAAATTCGAGCTTGACTTGAGCCTTAATTTCAAACCTGAGCTCGACTTGATTAGTTATTAAGAAAATAAAGTCATATTAAAATGTAACAAATAATACGACTAAGCTCGCAAGCTGGACTCAACTCGGCTTGATTATGCAATTTTGAATAAAATAAAGGGTAAAAATGTAAATACGACTTAGCTCAATTAATCCCGCGAGCCTCACAAGTCAAGTCTAATAACACGCAAGGTCGACTTGATAATATACTTGAGTACATGTCATAGTCATTCAGGGGTAACTAAGCTAAGAACCAAAATGACTTACAACTTCATGTGTACATGTCATTGTCAACACGGGAATTTTTTTTAGCCAACTATCTTTGTTCTTGATTAACATGTTTCAATTGTTAGCCACCTTTAAAGGGAAACAAAAATCAGCTAGTCATCTTTGAATTTACACGAGTTCACTTGTTAGTTACCCTCCAATAATTGTGAGAAAATGTAATAAACTAGCACCCCTACAATACATGATACTATAGAAAATTTGTGTATCTATAATACATAATTCACAGTAGGATTATGTTTAATTATACGTAATAGTACATTTTTGGTTTGTGAAAAAGAATATTTATAAAAATGATTTGTACACGTTTTTGCAACCCTACTGTATGAAAACGAATATGTAAAAAAAAAACTTTGGAAAACAAATTTGTAAAAAGAATATATCTTGTAAAAGCATATAAGAAATTAGCTGAGAACTCCGTATTTTGGTGATATTTTGTATCGAGATAAATTATAAATATTGTTGGTGATTTTAGTGTTACCATGTGATGCAACGAACAAATGACCAAAGATCAAAACTGTTGATTCTAAAAGAATACCTAGGATAATCTTGCCCAAACCACGTTGATTATATGAATACCGTGGGATTTGCTTCAAAACTCGGTAAACACACATGAAATTTTGAGAGAAAAATGAAAGTTCTTTTTACTGATCCATGACCATCCAAATTACATCATAAAGACTTAAATAGGAAGCAAAATTTTAAAAGAAACCCTAAAGAGACATGGGCCAAACACAAACCCAAAAACAAAGTCCAAAAATTATGAAAAAAACACAAAAATGTCCATAAGTCCAATTTAGAAAGCGATATCTGGACTCAAAAATGGGTAAGTCCCCTTTGGGGACTTATCTAGACGTGCTCCTTGCTTCAAGCTTCGATTTGACTGGTCGTAGGCCCAAAACGGAGATCTGTAGCCAAAGTTATGGCCATTTCCGTGAAGCCCCTTTAGTCACACGATCGTGGGCCTCTAGGAATGCAAGGGTCCGATCCTCCACACTAGGGCCCGCATCATCCCCTCCAGGGTAGACAAAATTCGACCTCGAATGTGTAAAAGGCTCATCATCAGAAGAATCCTCATGAAAAGGAAGTAAATGTTTCACATTGAAAACATCAGAATATCGAATGTGACTTGGCAACTTCAGACGATAAGCATTGGAATTGATCTTCTCCACAATCTCCACGGGTCCAATCTTCTTGGCTGATAGCTTGTTGTACTCTCCAACCGAAAAACGATCCTTAGTCAAAACAGCCCAAACAAAGTCACCCTCCTCAAAATCAACTTGCCTACGTTTTTTATCTGCATCTTGCTTGTACTTGGAGTTGGCTCGAATCAAGTTGTCATGAACAACCTTATGAACATCATGTAGACCTTCAACAAAATCCTTCACTTTCTTTGGAACAACACTAGAAATAGGAAGCGACATCAAATCAAGTGGTCCCCGAGGTTGAGCAGAATAGACCACTTGAAATGGACTAAATCCAGTACTTCGGTTGACTACATGATTATGAGCAAACTCAGCTTGACTTAGTTTCTGATCCCAGCCCTTCACATGATCACCCACCAAACACCGCAAAATATTACCAAGGGACCGATTAACAACTTCTGTTTGCCCATCAGTTTGAGGATGATAAGCACTACTAAAGTTAAGCTGAGTGTTCACCATTTTCCACAAGCTACGCCAAAAATGACTCAAAAACCTAGTGTCTCGATCAAAAACAATAGAATATGGCAAGCCATGCAAACGGTATATGTCGCGAAAGAATAATTGAGCCACATTAACTGCATCCGTCGTCTTTTTACTAGGGATAAAGTGCACCATCTTGGAAAAAACGATAAACAACCACATAGATTGAATCATTGCCCCGTTGAGTCCGTGGTAACCCCAACACAAAATTCATGCTTATATCCACCCAAGGTTGAGACGGAACAGGTAAAGGCATATAGAGTCCAGAATTGATAGTTGTGCCCTTCGAAACCTGACAAATTCTGTACCGTTTAACATATCGATCCACCTCCTTGTGCATAGTAGGCCAAAAGTAAGATGATTGCACCAACTGTAAAGTGCGATCTCGCCCGACATGCCCCTCACCATGCAAGTCTTTGATGATTTGAAGATGAAGACTAGAATCGGGGACACAAAACTGATTCCCTTTGAAAAGGAAACCGTCGTGCACTAGAAAATCAGACCTCCGCCCAGATTGTATATCCTGCAGAATAACAGAAAAGTAAGGATCAACAGCCAACTGCTCCATGATGACATCCAAACCTGGCACAACAAACCTCATGGAAACTAGCAAATTACTTCTTCTGCTCAACGCATCTGCCACCCTATTCGACACTCCAGACTTGTGCTTCACAACAAAAGTGAACTTTTCCAAGAATGCCATCCACCGCCCATGCTTATGGGATACCTTATCTTGACTTCGAATGTGCCTTAGAGAATCATGATCTGTAAACAAAACAAACTCTTTATGAAAAAGGTAGTGACGCCAATGCTTTATAGCTTGGACCACTGCATAGAATTCAACATCATAAGTGCTATAACGCAACTTTGGCCCCATTAACTTCTCACTGAAATAGGCAACCGGTCGTCCCCCTTGACTTAGAACTGCTCCAACTCCAACCTTTAAAGCATCCGTGTGTAATTCAAAAACTTGAGAAAAATCTGGTAATACAAGAATCGGTGCTGAAGTAAGCTTCTCTTTAACCAGTTGGAAAGCCGATTCTGCCACCTCTGTCCAAATAAAGGTCTTCCCTTTCATACAATCAGTCACAGGTGCCATAAGAGAACTGAAGTTTGGAATAAAACGCCTATAGAAAGAAGCAAGACCATGGAAGCTTCGTACTTCAGTGATTGTATTTGGAGTTGGCCATTGTCTGACATCTGTCACTTTAGATTCGTCCACCTGTATTCCTTCACCAGAAACAACATAACCCAAGAACAGGACTTTTGGGACCATGAACACACACTTCTTCACAGCTGCATACAAACTATCCCTGCGAAGTAAGGTCAAGACCTGTCGCACATGGTTGACATGCTCTCCAATAAAGGGTAGCACTGTAATAAGTATGTCATCAAAATAGACGACTACAAATTTACCAATAAAGGGCCTGAACAATTGGTTCATCACACGCATAAATGT